GCTGGACAATATGCTATTGCTCACAAGCTGAGGCTGTTGCTCAGCACTGCATCGGAGGGGACAAAGCCTTTCAGTCCGCTTGCTGAGATCAATACTGAAGGAGAGCATATGCTTCGGAGCCCAGACCATAGTCGCACTTCGTGGTGCAGGACCCTCCGTGCTCCAGGATTGTGCCTGCCATCTCCACACAAATCATGCTGATGTAGCCAGCCTGCCCAGTAGCTACGGCAGCCATGGGCTAGATCACCACCTTCCTCACACGTCAGGGTAGGCGCATCCGGAATGCCCTGCAATGCCTGCAAGGAAGCGATGCCACGACGCTCTCTGCGTCTGACTGCAGAAGTCTACTTCGCACGCCCTTGAGTCCAACACCTGGCAGGGCTGCCCCACGCACTGGTACACTGGTGGGCCTCGCAAAAACCAAGCTCATAACTTCCTCTCCAGTCATCCATTCATGCCGGTTGAAGCGGCTCTTACAGGACAATCCTTGGATTGGAGCCCGACTGAAGTTGCCCAGGTTGCAAGAAAGGAAAGGTATGTCCGGCTCCTTGAAATGTGGCAAGCATGCAGCACATAGGTGAAGCGCACCACCTGCCGAGGCCCCTGCATATCCAGGCAAGCATTGAGCGGTACAACCTCGAGGAGAGACATAGGGCATATGCCGGTCAAATGGCCTCTTTCCAGGCACGCCGGCGTCCGCGGTGGAACATGCTGGGCCCTTCCGCACAGGTCCTGGCATCATGAAGTAATCTGTTCGACTCAGACATATGCCAAACCACACCATGATGCCCATGTGTTTTAGAATGTGCACGTGGGCAGTGGTGGGTGTTACGAGGTTCGAAACGTCGACAGCACTGTCAGTCCAAGGAAGTCATGGAATTCACTGTCTGACTGTGCTACAACTCGATGCATCTCCTCGCTTCTGGCGGAACCCATTCGACAAGTGGGCTGTTGATGCCTGTCTGAGCTTCTCTTCTGGGAAAGGAAACGGAACAGAAGAGAAGCCACACGGCCTAGAGACCGGTTGTAGCCGGGTGAAGGCGGCAAGGCCCTGACATGGCACGAGAGCTCTTGGGCTTGGGCCTTTTGCTTGATCGTCTTGCAGAATCTGCGAGGGCTGCCATGGCAGCTCGAAGTGGGCCGTGCAGTTTTCCGGGAAGCCTCGGAGGATCATGAAAAAGGCACAGTTCGAGGCTCGACGCTGTTTCCGGGGTGGTGGCACTCGTATCTGAAGGGCGTTAAGACACCGTTTCTACAAGTCCTCGGCAGGGCAAACTGTGTTTTTAGCAAATGCGAAAGTCTTCAAGGCGCAAGCACCTCCGCACTTGGACCTGAGTTCCACTTCGTTCGGTGAACCCGACTGAGGCGGATTAAGTCTCCTGCGGTACCCTGGCTTGCAGTTGGGCGTGCAAATTCCTGCCACTTCAATCTGCCACCCATGCGACATCACAGCCAGACATGGATTCTGTATCTCGCGTCTCCTTCGTGCTCCGCTTCCGGGCCCTCTTGACAGGTGACCGCTTCGGCAAACTGCGCCTCGGAGACTCGCGAGCCAACAAGAACAAAGCGCCGAGGGGCATCAGGGGCTCAGGCTCCGCGCCAGCTTGGGCGCGGGACCTGAAGCTGTCTGTCGCTGTCTGTCGCTGACACGACGTGAGCAGCATGCGATGACTGCGAGTCTTGCTTCATCGAGGAGGCCACCACAAAACACATGTCGGCGGTCTGCCCCGCCCAAAGTTCAGTTGCAAACGGCGGTGACCGACATTGATTCGCAATGATGGAAAAAACGAAAACAACTTTCCAAGCTGGCTGTCGTGATTGCAACGTCGCCGTTTCAATATCGACTCATGTGCTTGGCCTATCTAGGCCTGTTAGGTTGCCAGACATGCAGCGCAATCTCATGAGTCACGTCGCTGCCTTGCCAGACCACGCTCCGCACGCCAGGTGAATGAGTCTCTCCAAAACGAGTGATAGAATTGCTCAGGTGGCAATTTGCAACTGCACTCTTTCAGAACCTGTGAAATTGGACCTGTGCGGGAGTAAGTTGCACACAGGAGTTGCCCAGGCACTCGAAGAGGGAAGTCAGATTTGAAGCCACGCACTGTATCAGAGACACCTGGCAAGGGCCCGAGGTGTTGTGAAGCATCAAGTAATCCACCGATATCCACCGTCTACGGATTTGACGACAGAAGTAACAAGCAGCACTAGCCGCGGTGTGTGCTTGGGCCATGTTGAGGACAGACTTTGCTACTGCCAGGGCCACGGCGTTCGGATGCCATCCGTCCCTCGCGAGACTCACATCATACAAAACATGCAGACACATACGGACACGAGCAGCTCTGGCCCACCGGCAGAGGGGGTCGCAGAAGCCCAGGTGCGGAATCTCAGGGAGGTCTATGGAGCACCTGGAGCATGCGGGCAGCTGCGGGCACAGCGACATCCCACAAGCTTCTACAAAAATGCGCCGGCGTCACGGGCGCAGCGCGTGGGCGTTCAAGATCTGGCCCTCTCCCGAGCCGGTACGCGGCACCTGTAACGCTGGCTCGCAAAGTATGGTTCCACGTGTGCGAGGTGTTTCCAGCGCCTGGCAAGGCATTCCCAGACAAGTGAAGGTCCTCGTCGAAGGTGCACAGCACTGAGACGTGGCTATGGGCAGGCCTCTAAGGCACCAGCGACGGTGCGAGGACCCCCGCGACACAGGGAAGGATGCTCTTCCGCAGCACTGGATCCCAAGGCAACTCGGTATGATGACGTGCTGTGGTGCAGGCGAAGTTTCGCAATGCTTTCGTGCTGGGCCCATGTAGCCCATGTAGATCAATGATTCCGACATATTCCATATGGTATCCATGGTTTGCAGCAGCTGAGCGCAGCACACCGTCCAGATTTGGGGTATAGCCATTTCTACACCTGTGATTGAAGCTGACAACAGTCCGGAGCGAAGCAGAGAATACACAAATTCACTATGCTTCAGTGCCTGGGTGTGCAGCACGATCCGTGAACCTGCATCAGCTCGATAATCAAACTCAGCGGAATCTGGCAGCAAAAGGTCCGCTGCTCCACGAGAAGCTCAGCACCTCACAACCACAGAACCGCCCTCTTCGCAGTTTGTATGGTTCTCTTCCTCCTCCCTCAGCCATAGTTTGCAAGTTGCATGCGGGTGCAAAGGTGCTGACGTTGAAGCTGCTAAGCTCAGTTGCTGTCACTGAGTCTCTGGCCCTCCGAATGGAATCCCGACGGGGGCAGAGCAGTTCAGACCGATACACTGAAAGGTCGATGGAACCAGCCTTAGCGTCTGCACACACTCTTCGCAACAGCAAGTCCTGCAAGTTCAGGTCTGTCTGCATGTTGCGGTGCTTGCCGTGCCGGCTGGGTTTCCGTGCTGGCCACTCAAACACAGGAGCAGCCCATTGCTGCTCGCAACTGCCAGAGGTGGCGACGTGATCNNNNGCCCTCCGCGCATTGTGGTTGGCATGTGCCTCGAGGGTCGAGATTCTGAGCTCCTGATCTTTTCAAACCCTGTTTCCTCTCCTTAGGCTGCCGGCCGAAAGCTGAGATCACCGCGCCTTCGGCCTGAGACGATGGGACGCTGGGGCTAACGCTCACAACGCTCGAAGCCGGGCTCCCGGCGCACGAGCCGGCTGGATGCTGTCCATCGACTACCGGGGCCTTGGTGTCAGATGCGCCAATGCGTCCGTGTCATGGAAAGGTTTACCGGTCTGTGGCCCGACCAAGCAGTCACCGTGGGAGAACGGCACGGCAGACAGGGCCGCAAGGGCCCACAGAGTCCTCAGCCGCGCATCGACTGATCAGTAAGATTCGCAGTTTCGCCTTCTGAGCCAGGTCGCTGGGTGCATGGGCGTCGCAGAGCCGCCATGTCCGTGTCCGTGGTGCGACATGATGCGATCACGAGAAGCGGCGAATATGCAGGGCACTTCGACTTGGGCTTAGGAGCACTTATGGCAGGATTTTTCGGTCCACACCCAATCTGAACTGTCTCTTGCAGGATCTGAGCCATCGCAGCTGCAATGTCAAGCCAAGAAGTGCCAAACTCCGCTAACAGCACCGAAACCACGTTTGCCACGAAGTGCAGGATGACACCTGAAGAGCACGCCCA